GAAGAGAGGGAGAAGGGAAATGATACTAAAACTTAACTTACATAACATAATGTAACAATAATTTAAAAATAACTTAGAAAAGATTTTAAAAAATTAGTGTTGTTTTATTTTTTAATTATTTTTTTAATTTTTATTCACTGCTTTTTGCTTTCTTTCCTTCACTTCCACCAGCACTTTTACTGGATAGAGGTCGCTTGGTAAAATATCTATCCAAAGAGGTTCGGCTTGGCCTACTTTTTAATGTTTCTAAAATGACTTAGGCAAATGTCATTACTCCGAGCAGCAATACGGCCAGCGTGAACCTTTTCGGGATGTTTCTTTTCAGTAAAATCTGTCATTTTCTGATAATACCTCAAGATTTCCTTTATCGAGCGAGATCCTTCCACGATGAAGCAAACGTGCGGACTGAGACTAATGTACAGAAGTGAATAAAAAATGGCGCTGTGAACTAATGTAACGTCGTATGGTGAGTTTTTGTTCGTATTGTGGAGCAAAAATATGTTTGAATTTCATGTCGTATCCTGAAAATTTCGTATGCTGGGGTGTTCGTATCCTGAGGTACTACTGTATTACTATTTAAATGGCTTTTCTATAAATATTTTTCACCTTCTAAAACAAAAATAATTTATTCTTTTTCCAATATCCTTTATTTTCTCCCAATTATTTTTCATTCATTACTAAATCATTAACGTATAAAAAAAAAATTAATTAAAGTTTTCTGTAATGGGTTGTGTGTGTTTTCTTCTAGGGTGTTATTACCGCAGATATGACTGCAGCTTTGTACACCGAGAATACAGAACAACAACTGGATGCAACACAGAAGTTTAGGAAATTATTATCTAGAGGTTAGAAAATTTATTAACTGTTTTCTGTGAAAATCTTGTATATATATAGTTCAACCATTATTCGTAGGTAAATGGATGAACAGCAGACTTTATTAGTCCAGATGTTAATTTATGTTCAATTACATAGAATAATTTTGAAATACATCTAATTTCTTTTTACATCTATTTATATTTTATTTTTAACTATGGTAAAATGGAATGAAGGGAAATTATCACAAAATGTAAGTGTGTTGTCTAAGATAAGGTACCATACACATAAATATATTAATCATTCTTAATATTTTAAAGATATGAGATTTTTCTTTTGCATGAAATACATGCATCCATTTGTACTTGCCTTTTGATTGTATTTTCTTTAGCAGAAATTTATTATTTTCCAGATGTGTTTGTTAATTTGAGCAAGTGATTTGTTTACAATTATATCCCACAAATAAAATTTCTTCCACATTCAACAAATAATTTTTCTTTTGTCTATTGAGCCTACATCATAAACATAATCTTTCTACATCAGCATTGTGATGTGTTATTACAAACTATGCAATTTTGAACAATTCTGAATAATAATCTACTTCAGTAAATAAAAAAAACACACGCCAGTATTATTGTAATGTTAATCAGTATTATGTATTGTTTAAACAATTTTACATCAATTAATATAATAATAGTAAAAAAGAACAGTTAAAAATCCAGACATTTTTGTGTGTCTATAAAAAATTTGTCTGGACAAAAATTTTACATTCAAAGAAGAGAATATTATGGTAATCCTAATTAAAAGTTTAAACTATTTCAAGACTAATAACTTCTAATTTTTTCATTTAATTATCAAAAGAAAGGAAAAGCAATAAAATTATTATTCAGAAATTTTACTTATCAAAAATTTTCAAGCTGAAATACACTAATCTTGAATTTTTTTAGTCAATTCAAGTTTTACAATTCTTATCAGTTACAATTTTGGTATCCAGATTGAGATCCAGATAGTCATTAGTAATATATTTGCATGTTTAAGAAGTTTGAGGCCCATTCCAAGCTGATCATTTCTTCTAGATCAAGAATTTTCTAAAATTATTAAATTAAATTTTGCACACTGGTGATCAAGTAGTTAAAACCACAGAACACTAGTAGTTCTGTCACAGGTTTATGCCTCACCACCATGTGGAGTTTTCAGCATTTTATTCACCTGTCTAAATGCTAAATAGGAACCATTTTCCTATAGAAAGTACTGGGAAGCATCCTCTTGGCATTACCCATGTGTTGTGTTATCCAGCAATCCAATCCAAATTAAATTTCAAAATCAATTCTAATTGTTAATCAGTATAAGATGATAGCCTACTTACTTATCTTTAGGAAAAAAATTGTTTGAAAATCCGTCAATTTAAACTTTTAATTGATTTTCTGAATAATAATTTTTATATAACATACAATTTATGTGACNAAACGCTTTTATAGGGGGATCTACTGTATTTTGAAAAGCTCATCTCCTATTGAATATAATACTATGAAGGGGGGAAAATACAGCAAGTGATGGTGTTTAGAAATGCTGGAGAAGAGTGAAATGTAACAAATTATTGTAAATTAAGAAATCAATATATATCAAATTTTTATGTTAGTTTTTCATATTTTGAAATTAATACTTTAGTTTAATGAGGTATGGCAATGCAACATCAGGATGAACTTCCAAGGAGGACTTGCTATGGGACTTATTTAGGTGTTATATATATGAAGAAAGGCCAGAAATCTTACATGGCTAGCCCTCTTGATGAGAGACAAACCATCAACTATGATGATATGATCCACATCCAACTATTAGTGTTTGATAATGTTATTCACTCAGCCACTGGTGGACTTGAAATCAATGACTTTGGAGTACAGTACAAGCAGAAAGTTTAGTAAGTGAAATTGATAAATGAAAAAAAGAAGCAAAGAGCATTCCAAAATATGAAGTTTGTAAATTTATACTGTACTTGTTTATTGTTGTGGTTGTTTATTTTGTGAATTTGCAGAAAATTTTTTTAATTTATGAAATCAGCAGTTGGTTTGTCTATTTCATGAAATGAGCAATCTTCCTAGATTTGGCATAACATTATATATTTAAATATCTATACTAGTGTTTTTCAACCTGTGGGTCGCAACCCCCAGGGGGGTCGCAGAGCCTTACACGGGGGGTCACAGGTAAAAGAAAAAGATAAGTGTTTATAGGTCCTACACTACAATAAAAAAACTACAGTTTCACTAAGAAGGCTGTGCCTGTTTATTTTACAGTACAATTAGTTTTTTGATCGATATTTAAATCTCAACAAAAAGATACGTAGTTTTTAAAATCACTGACATAGTTTTAATATGGCTGTGGGGGGGGTTGCCAGAATTTTTTAACTTTTAAAGGGGTTGCGTATTCAAGAAGGTTGAAAAACACTGATCTATACAGTACTAATATTATAAAGAGGTAAAGTTTGTAAGTTTGGATGTAGGGGGTAATCTCTGAAACTACTCATCCAATTTCAAAAATTCTTTTACCAATATTTAGAGTGGAACTTCAGGGTGGACATAGGCTGTATATTATTCTGTTAAACATTTGTATAAATTAAAAGATACCATCTAGGATTAAGGCTTTTATGTCCAACAGATGGTGTTAACTCCACGAGTATGACGACCTAAGTTTGCTTTTCTGTGAGGCATTGTGTGTTTCTGTGAGGATGAACTAAAGCAAATCATCTTCTATATATCTATATAAATAAAAATGTAATGTTCGTTTGTTCCTACCGATTCCTTTGAAACTTTGACACAACATTGCATTCATATATGCACATGTTTTTATATAATATACGTGTCGAAATTCCCCCACTGGGATGAAGATGGACAGGAGTAAGGCTTACCGTGAAGAACTCTGCTTCTATTATACTATTTTAGATGTGGTTTTTTGTGTTTTTGATTACGTTTTAATAGGGTATTTCAAGAGAATGTACTACACTAACAAGGGATTTTTTGAAATTCCCCCACGCAGGGAAGTGCTATACATTTATAAGAGATACATTTTGAGCCATAACAATGTGTGGTGAGTCTGCTAGTATATATATATGGGTCACTCTGGAAAATTTAAAAATATTGTCAACTATTTACCAGTTAAAAATTTTTTTTGCCACTTCAGATTATTTATTACCACCAGTTTTACTTACTAATTAATGCAAGTGCTTGTAGCATTATCAGATTGGTGTCTGGAAAGCAAAAGTAAGCTGTCACACTGAGAGGGCTGGACATTTGAGTCTTCGGATTTTTGAACAAAACTTGATGAGCATGTAGCCTAAAACACAAACAGTTCCTTGTCCAAATAATAAGACCCATTTCTCAAGCATTTCCAAAAATGAAACCTCTGAAAATTTAGTATTTGGGCTGCAATTTGAAAAAATTGTAGACCTATAAATTCCCGCTGTCATCCATCTGTCCTTCCTTAATCTCAAGAATAGAGTTTGATGAAAGACGAGACTGGATATGGATACTTTAGGGCAGGATGCCCTGATTATGTGAACTTCTGATGCAAACTGGAAGTCAAGTTATTTTAATTCAAAACTTCCCCTGAAAGCAGTTAGTAGATGAACAGCATGACTCCATTGCTAACAGAATATCTTTTTTGTCAGTTGCCCTTTTGTTAATCCCCAAGGAAGCTTTAACATTTCATTTTATTTTTAAATTACTCATTTTATCACAGAAAACTTTTATACTGACAACAAAATAAAAATATAAATAACTCCTTTCAGGGGAAAATTTTTGAATCGGAATAATGTGACTTCTGGTTTGTATTGCCAAGTGTTGAAATTGTAACACATCTTGTGTTAATGAATCAAAGAAATTAAGAAAACATTGTTTCAGAAGATTAAATAAATATATATATCTCAAAGAATGGAGTTTGCAATTAAAAATTGTGAAATTTTGTTCAGACGATTTCCTGAATTCTCAAACTGTGTTATATGGGGGATATTCTCAATTTTCCAACCATGTTAAAGTGAAACTGTGTTGTAGAAATGTTGTGTTGTAAGAGGGATACTTGTTTTAAAAATTATCAAAAATATTGCAACAATATATGAATCTATATTTTGTCATTTGATTTTGTACATTCTCATGCAAAATATTAGAATACCAGTCATAAAGACCTAACCTGTCATCTTATATTATTGTTAGATTGTATAATTTTATTTCTATCAATGCAATTAATTAGTAAAACACCAAGGAAATTTCATCATCGTTGTAATACAGTAGAGTATCGATTATCCTAATACCAATCAACCAAAACATTGGTTAACCAAAAGTGTTCCAGTCGGCAAATTCAGCATGAAAAGAGAGCTTAAAAAGGTCTATTTACCCGAAAACAATAGAGAGGTTGCAGTTGTTTTGAATAATCTTTCCACTAGTGTTATGGCGTTGCAATATTTGGCTATGTCTTGGACTACTTGAATATTATTATTGTTGGTGTGCATGTTTTAGCTGGCAGCACTAGCATGACCGCGAGAGGGTACTTAAGGACGCGCCAGTATTTGAACGAGGCTTCCCCCCATCGTGAGTGGTGAGTATTGCTTGTTTTTCTGTGTGGTGTTTTTTCTGAGGACTGTGTGTCAGGACGTGTGTCGCTGAATTGGAATGTTTTTGATATTAGATTAACTTCTGAAGTATAATTTTTTTGTTTTTATATTTTTCAATATATTTATTTTGTTTGTACAAAATAAAGAAATAATTTTTAACAATACAATAACCACATTTTTTATTTTTAAAAAAACTTTTGTTAGGCTTAACATCAGTGAAAATTTAATGTGAAGCGACATGCAATGGAGAAAAATTTCAACATGGAATGGGTTAATATATTTTTTCATACGTGATTAGTTATCCGAACGACCCCAGTCCCAAATTGTTTCGGATAATCGATGCTCTACTGTATATGTAAAGAATCAGTCTGATGTTACAACTTCTAACTTATATTCTTATTTTCTGAAATGTGCTTTTTCTCAGTTAATAAG